CGGGGCCCTCGGCCGCCTCTCCCGGGTGCTCTTCTCGTGGGGCAGCGTGCATTTCAGCCCGGGTTACACGTGGCAGGGTTCTCGTCTTCATTTTTAGTGCTGGAAAGATTTGTGTTGGGAAGGCAGCCCCTGCCTGGCTGGGAGGAGGGGATGCTGCAGGGTGGCTCATGTTTCCTTGCCTCTGCCCTGCCCTGGGGAGCACCCAGTGAGGGCGGTACCAGCAGGGTGCAAGCTGGAAATCAGCTCAAACGCACCCAGCCCATAGCAGGAGCCCAGCATAAACTGGTAATGGGGGATGCAACGTGGCAGAGCATTGAAGAGGGCTTAAACCCTGCGAGAATGGGCTGGATCCCGCACTGGGCGACAGCCCAGCCTCGTCGGTTCTCGCCCTCCCAGCCTGGTCCGTGGGGTGAGGCTATGCCCGGCCAGGCTGAATCGTGTGGGATCCCTCTCTGTCACCCTCTGCCACGCCTGGCACAGCATCTTCAAACGCTGCGCTGCTCAGCTGGGCTCTCCCTGCCCTCATCCCCCAGGCTTCGCCGCGCAGGTCCCCGAGGTGTTGCCCCCCCGATCAGCAGGTATTTCCCCAAATCGTCATCGCTTCAACCCTTGTGGTTTCAGCGGTTGGGTTAGCCCTCCGCCACCAGCTCGCTCGGCGTGCTAGCGACTGCCTTTTGGGGGAAGGAGTCGCAGCAGCTGCGTCCAGGAGCACTGAGCCCTCGCAGACCCTCTGCGAGACCCTGGTTCCGAAGAGCAGATGATTCTGCCTGAGAGCAGCCCTCCTTTCCCAGGTTTGCTGCCTGTGTTTCTGCTGTGCTGCTCCAGCTCGGGGCTTGTCCGCGTAAGCCCAAGCAGGAAAAACAAATCAGCGGAGCAGTGGCGCTTGCAGTAGTTCGTTAAATCTCCTTGAGCCCTGGATGCCCTCCTCGGCAGCGAGCAAGCTCTGAGCAAGCGCTGCCCTGCCCGAGCTGCACGGAGTGACAGTCCTTTCGATTCTGTGTCTGCTTGTCGGGGCTGCTGTGCCTTGCCTCCTCCTCTCTGCATCCTCTCCCTCCTCACAGGGGTTGTTCCCTGCGTGCTGTCACGTAGCAGAGATGATGGTTCAGCCCTGGGGGCTGCGTTGCCGTGTGGCCGGAGCCTGTGCCGGGCCTGTTTGCTCTTCTCCCTTGAGCTAGTGAAAAGCCAGGGCAGGCCCAGATAAACCAAACTGTCTAAAGACATCAAACACCTTGGTTATTGAGAAATTTGAGACGTGAGCTGCCAGGCCAGGGGGTGATGGGCATCCTCGGGGTGCGGAGAGGAGCCGTCCAGCCCTGTCGGGACAAGGAAGGGAGGACCAAAAAACCAAGGTTGTACTAAATGCAGACAAGGGAGAAATGCATGCCTGGGAGCAAGGCTGCAGCTTGGAAGATGGATGCTCGGAGATGCACAAAGCTGAAGGTGAAGCAGGCAAGCGCCGGTGGCCAGAGCAGGCTTGGGCTGGGAGATCAGGTGAGGGCAGGAACACGGAGCAACACACAGGAGTTGCTGCTGAGTGGCTGAGAGCAAAGGGTTTGCCCAAGATCCAAGCAGTGGCCACCAGCTGACACGGAGCTGGTGGTTCCTGGGTGAACGCTCAGAAGCATTTTTCTCCCTGGAGATGAGTGAAGAGGTGGAATGAGACTGTCAGATCCTGTGGGCAAACATCATGCCATGCCGGCACTGCAAGGCCTGGCCACAAACTGCCCCTAAAGCACGGACAAGCTACCGCAGAGCCATCAGCAATCTTGGAGCAGAAAACTCCACCTCACTGCTTTAAACGAGGAGTGATTTTTGTTGAGGCGAGGCATCAACAGAGACGTTGTCACTTGCTCTGGTGGCCTGAGCGATGCAGAGTGCTTGGTCTAATGGTTGAACACAGCTTTGTGCCTTACCATGGCGTCCCTAAGGCAGCTCTGCACAGCCAGGCTCGCTGCCCTTTCTCTTCTGCTTCAGAATTTAAAATGCGACTTGTGCCACAGAAGTCACCAAGAGAAGAAAGTGACCCTCCTCTTCAGCAGCAGCCCTCCTGCAGGAGTCAGGCTTCGGAGGCGTAGCTGTCCCTGCTGCGCTGTGAGCACTCTCCCAACAGCTAGCAGGAGTTTCCGCAGCGAAGGAGCAAGCGTGCTGGTGCGGCGCGGTGTCCAGAGCAGACCCCAGATCCCTTTGCACAGTGCTTGAACTGCAGATGACAGCAAAATATCTTGAAAGGATGAGTTGCTCATTTGCCGTTGTTTGAACCAGGAAATTGGTAGTATTACTGGATCTTTCCCTGTCTGGGGTAAAGCAGTAGGATACACCACCCCCCTCTAAACTGCCTTCAGAACCCCAAGGCTTTGCTGAAGATAAGCACTGAGCTGTTTTTCATTGCGTTGTGGGTTTTGAGTTATTTCACCTTTGTTACTAATTTTCTTTTTTTTTGGCATCTAGGAAACTTTTAATGCAAATTAAAAGCTGAGACTCTCCTGCGTGTGCATGACTCCACGGAGCTAAATGGACATTACAAAAGCAAAACCCGTGTGGAGCCTGTTCACCAGGCTCGCTCCCCCCGCCGTACCCGTGGTAACGCCATGGCAGAGGCACCGGTTTGCTGCCGGAGCGCACCCCACGAAGCTCCCGTCTGACTTCCTTGTGCACCAGCTGGTGCATGGGCAGCGGGGAAAAACCTCACAGAAATGAACCCAAAAGTCTGCGTGGTTCAGTAACCCCCATCGCCCTGCTGGCACCCAGGCAGGGAAACACTCGAACCGTCGGTGTGAAACGTGGTGTTGAGTCAGCCGTGCAAAGAGCTGATAAAATAACTGTTCCGTGTCCTGGTCAGAAAAAACTGGAGCGAGATTTTTGCGGCGGGCTCTGCTCTGTGAATCTCGGCTCTCGGCAGCCAGCGCAGGCTGTGAGGGAGGACGATGGCTGCTGGCGTCGCTGCAGGTTCGCGCAGGGGAGCACGGGAGGCATTCGCAGCCCTGAAGCTTTGCCCGTCCAGCCGCAGGTCTCGGGCAGACCAGCGCTTTGGGCTCCAGCATCTCCATTGCAGGACTTTCTGCAGGTTCACAAGAGGCTGAGCTGGCTTGGAGCGGAACCTGGGAAACATTAGGGAAACGATGGTGGGTCTAGGACGCTCTGCTGGAAAAATCTGGCTTGAAACTCGCTCTCCTGTTGGGAGAGGCTGAGCAGCAGCGACGGGGAGGTTTGCAGAGGCACTGGGGAAGCTGCTCTGCAAAGGGGCTGCTTTCCTCCAGCACAGAGGACGAGGAGCAGGTCTAGCTCAGGGCGAAGACAGTCCCATGCCCTCAGGCCCCGTGTCCCCTCTCCAGCACAGGGACAACCCCATCTGCTGAGGCCTAGCGTCTCCTCTCCAGTGTGGGCACAGTCTATCTCCTCAGCATGGGGACAACCCCATCCCCTCAGACCTCGTGTCCCGTTTCCAGCACAGGGACATCCCCATCCCCTCAGGCCTCGCGTCCCCTCTCCGGCGTGGGGACATCCCCATCCCCTCAGGCCTCGTGTCCCCTCTCCGGCGCGGGGCCAGCCCCATCCCCTCCGGG